CAGTGTTGTTCTGAATAGACCCATCACCTGTGTGCTATAATCCTCTGAGGTTTCTGCATTTGAGATGGGCAAAATCAGTACAGGAGACAAACTCCCAGTGTTATGCAGAAGACAAAATTCTTGTGCTTGGTTGTAGGACAGCTGGAGGCAATGCTGTGGGAGCAGGGGGGGGGGAAAGCCTTGTGCTGGGCCTCCAGACACGCTCCCCACAGATGCTGTTTTCTCTGGGTTTACCGCAGACCAGAAGATACACCTGAGAGAGGACCTTCCGCGCTCGCTGCTGCACGAGAAGCATTAGTGTAGCAGGCTTCTACCTTGTGCATTGGATGCATACCTTTTTATTCCCTGCTTTTCATAGCTGCAGCTGTAAGCAACTAAATTATGGCCATTTCACTGTCAGAAGACTGCCAGTGGCAGAAATGGAATAGGATTTATCATTAGTGCAGAGGAGCCCTCCCTGAATGCCCAGTCAGGTGCTGAATATCTATAGCTCTTACTGAGATCAGGGAGAGCTACTCTTTTTTTGCATTTACAGAACTGTCTTCACTGCTGAGAACCCAAGGGCATGTGCAAGCTTTTGGCTCATCTCTGAAGCTGGTGAGGCAGCTCTGCGGTGTGTTAAATACCCAGTTCTGCCTACTGACTGGAAAGGTTTGGTGGCAGAGTGAGACAACTAGAAACTAATTTACTTACCAGTCAAATATCATGTTACGTAGATCTGTATTTTTTTTTTAGTAAAATTTTGGATGTTTTCCTCTTAGTTTCGAGAGAAGTTTTACTTTTAACTTGGTATATCTTTCTTTACTTAGAGATAGAGTGAGAAGCTGAATTTCACTCTTCAGAAATACCTTCAGAAATGAAAATACCATTACTTTATTCATCCAGTTTTAGTGCATGTTAGTGAGTGATGTGCCATTAACAAAATAGTCAGGCATGCACACCTGCGCTTTGATTGTGTGTGTGTGGGCCAAGGGAAACAAGTGGCTCACTCTTCCAGGCTGACAGCATTGTAAATTGGGGGAATGCTGTCTTGTTGAATCTACACCTAGATGGAGTTGAAATGATAGCACTGGCAGAGGTGTGAATCCTTTCACCTCATCCTAATGGGGTGTTAAATTAGGAACTTAGTTACGACTGTATAAATGTATTTAAGACAGTTGTCCACAGCACACAAACTTAACATGAGGAATTGAACACATACATTTTACAGTATATTAAAGTATTTCTGTTGTTAATGTGTATTATAATGAAACCTACTGGATTTATTTCTAAAATGTGGAATTGCATTCTGTCTTTTAAATTACTACTTAGGTATTTAGTTTGCTGATGTGTGGTATCATTTACAAATTCATAGCTGTCATATATGGCTTATTTAGATTGAGTTGATTTGTATTCTTCAGAAATGCTTGTGAAGTACGTTGTAATTTTATTTTACTTTAAATATCAGTTTTAGGATTTTAGTATATCCTGCAGTGTACTGTTGAGCTGATTCTGAACAGGGTAACTCCAGAACCTTTGCATGGTGCTGTAGTAGTTTTTGCCTCTTAGTGAGTACCATGCTCATTTGCTTAGAAGAAATAAGAGTGTTATCACAGAATTCTTTATTATTATTTTTTTTAATGGTGGTGAGGTGCATCAGATATACTCCACACTGGCAGGTTTGATCCATTTCTTTTCAAAGCTGTCGTGCATGTGTGATTGATGTGCAAGTATGCAGCAAATGCTTTATATCCCAGCTATGTCAGCCTCATTGCGTGTGCTAAGTAGAGATGTCTGAGTATGCACAGTAAACCCAACATGTCTGGAACACATCAGACTTGCTGGACAGACATAGATCACCTGCTTTAGAATTTAGTTGATTGCTTTGGTAGGCTTGGCAAGTTTGGGTCATGTAACTGAGCCATCTATCATGAGCGGCTAACAGTAAACCTGGTCCTCTTTCTCCCCCCCCTGTGAGGAACAGTAGGAGTTCTTCATTCTTTAGAAAATAAGTTTCTCAGATGTGAAGAGAAATGGCTTCTCCCATTAGTCTGTTGGGAGAGTGTCTTCCATCTACAGAAAAGGCTTATCAAGGCAGGTTAGAGGAGGTCCCTGAGAATGGAGCTGTGCATCCCTTTTCCAATTGGACTACTGTTTTCCAAAGCAGAGGAGTACATTGTAGAGGGACAATTTGTAATTCTGGTTTTTTTTTTTTTTTTTTAATTATTATCTGCCCAGTCAGGAAGATTTCCACATAAATTTGCCCATCAGTCCATTAGGAACAGCCAGGGAAAAATCTTATCTTTGCCTTAAAATATTTTGTGAAGTGAGTTCCTAGATAGCTTTGCCAGTTCCATCAGACAGCGCCTTTATGAGTTCAGACACAGTAAGGATTTACATTCATCCTAACCAGGCTTGTATCAGATAGATAACATCTCTTGATATGTAGTCAGCCTTCTTCACGAGAAGAACATTTCTTTGGAATAAAATGGAAGTAATGTATATGTCTGAATATTCTGGA